GAGGAACAGGAAAGAGCGCGAGCAGAATGGAAGGCAAGTCCTCACCCGTCAAATCCTTTGAAACTGAAACTCGTCCAATGAGAGGCCTCCTGAGTCTCCTACTGGTGGCAATTCTCATCAACCCGGGAATATCCAATCCACACCAACCATTCAAGATCACCTGGAAGCTCAGCGACGGACAGACCCACGAGGTGATCAACGAAACCTCAGGAATCCACCCCCTCAACACCTGGTGGCCAGACCTGTACTTTAACCTCAGGAGACTCTTTGTACGCCGGGTTGGGCTACACACTCCACTATATGAAAGCCTGGGTGGACATATGGGGGACGCATATGCCCACACTTATGGAGTGGGAGACCTTCCTGGGTTTTACTCTTGCCCAGGCAACATTAGAGGTAATTGGAAAACTTGTGGGGGTATAGAAAGCTATTACTCTGCGAGCTGGAGCTGTGTAACTTCGTGTGATGGGCCCCGGAGGTGGGACGTCAGGAACAGAGATCTAGTTAGATTTACCTTTAATGATTCCAAACACGAAGGGCCTTTTGTACGAGTATGGTTCAACCAGGACCGAGCAACAAAAGAAAGCTGCTGGACCGCAGGGCTAACTTGGGGCTTCCAGTTCCATGTGGCTTGGCCCGGCCCTTACCCAGGAGAGCTCTTGACCATTAAACAGGTGATTGAGCCGGTACAGGTACATAGTCTGGGTCCCAACCTGGTCAAAACGGCACAGGGGCACAAGACGACCCCTAAGACGACCACCTCCGGGCCAGACTCGCTGAGGTCAAGCAGCACCTCCTCTACCCCAGGCACTGGAGGTAATCTGACAAACATCCCGGGCCATCTAACCGTAACTGCTATCTCAGTGACTCAAGACCCCCTATGGGCCATAGTAAATGCCGCTTTTATGGCTCTAAACCATACTGACCCAAATGCGACCCAATCCTGCTGGCTCTGTTGTAACCTCCACCCCGCCTTCTGTGAGGCCGTAGCCTCAACGTCTCCTACAACTTGTCTTCAGACCCCAATCCCCCTCAATGCCGGTGGGAAGAGCGTAAGATAGGCCTCACGATGGAAGAGGTATGGGGACAGGGGGTCTGTTTGGGCACAGTACCAAGGGATAAGACCTCTCTTTGTGCTCAGACTTCTGGTAATATCAGCTTACCCGGCAAAAATTGGCTAGTGCCGGAAGTCGGGGGATGGTGGGTTTGTTCACATATGGGGCTAACACCATGTTTAAATATGAAGGTTTTTAACCAGAGCCAAGAATTCTGTGTTCTCGTCACTGTGATGCCAAAGATCCTATACCATTCTGAGGAGGTAATATACTCACATTGGGACTGGGAAGTACTAAGACAGAAATGAGAGCCCATTAGCGCAATCACTGTGGCAGCCCTGTTCAGCCTCGGACTGACAGGAGCAAGGACAGGAATAGCTTCATTATCTTTGCAGGGCCAAGGGCTCTTCTCCCTGCGGGCTGCTATAGATGAAGACATAGTCTGCATAGAAGAATCAATTAGTCACTTAGAAAAATTTTGACATCCTTGTCTGAAGTGGTCTTACAAAATAGGAGAGAGTTAAACCTAATTTTTCTCCAACAGGGTGGGGTCTGCGCGGCTCTGGGAGAAGAATGTTGTTTCTATGCGGACCACACTGGAGTAGAGAGAGAATCTATGGCAAAAGTAAGAGAGGGACTTGCACAACGAAAGAGGGAACGAGAGGCCCAACAGGGATGGTTTGAATCTTGGTTTCAAAACTCCCCCTGGCTGACCACCTTGGTCTCCACCCTCCTGGGCCCACTCATAGTGTTGATATTGATACTGACATTCAGCCCTTGTATCTTAAACCGGCTAGTGTCATTTATTAAGGAACGTTTAAACAATATTCAGATCATGGTGTTGAGACAGCAATATCAACCGTTGGCCCAGGACGGTGAAGAGAAAGGTTCCTCTACAGGAACATCAAGACGGGGGAATATGAAACTGTCAAGACTAGCGCCATGACAGGCACCCTGAGCTAGGAGGGGTCCTAAGGGTGGGGTGATTCTCCTCCTCCTCCAACAGGCCACCAGAGGCTAGCCAATCAGCACGCGCCCAGTAAGCCTCTGGAAGAGTCCCCTGGAAAGTCCCGCGGGCGCGAGAAAATTTTAAAGTGTGTTTGACCAATGAAATTGCTTTGCAAACATGTAACCAATCAGCTTGCGCTAACTACCCATTGCTTATGTTTGAAATCGAGCACCCTATAAATGTGCGTGGAGACTGGGGCTCAGGGCTCTCTGGCTTTGCACCACTGCGTTGGTTGCAGCAGGGGCCCTGACTCAAGTCAGCAATAAATTTTCCTTCCTTTGCATGTTGCATTGTCGAGGAGGTCTTCTCTTTTCCCGCTGGGGAATTCGGACATCGGGCATAACAGAGGGACTTAGAAAAAGATCGAGGAGCTGAAGGAGAGGTGTCAGCATCTTCTTTGTTGCTTACGACAGTTGCGATACGTTCTCATTGACCTGGAGAAATTCACCCCAGCCGAGGGTACAGGGCAGAGTTCCCGATGTCACTGGGCACCCAGCCCTAAGGAGCTCTGTGATTCATCGCAGATCTGGAAGGATGGGTAAAATCCACAGTCGTAGTACAGTAGTTGCTGAAGTGCTCAAATTGGACTTATGTCTGGGTGGATATCTGCCTTTAATAAGCGGTTCGTTGAATTTTTACTTGAAGAAACTTGAGAAATCTTGTCAGTTCCCAGTATTAAAAACCCTTTTTTATTGTCCCGATCTTTAGTCGTTTGTAATAAGTCTTTAATTTTTAGTCACAGGAAATAAGGGACCGTGGTGCTCAATAGTTTGCATAAGATGATTCAACTCCAAAAATACACTGCTAACATTCAGGATATCTGTGTTTTGGCTCACGTAGACCATTGTAAGCTGCTGCTGCTGCTAAGTTGCTTCAGTCGTGTCCGACTCTGTGCGTAGGAGCCCTTTCTAAATAGCTTGTTTTCAGTAATTAAGGGAGTGTGTCTCCACACGTGTCATTGGAGTGATGCTAAGGTGCAAGTCTTATTTCTTTTAGAAGTTTGATGTGGTAGAACACGGCCAACTAGGGATTGGTGTTCTTCTAGATAGTATACAGTGTTGGTTTTTAAATGAGAAGTTGAGTTTTTGTTAAACTATTCAAGCCCTTTTGAAATGGCTTTCTAATATAACACGTCTGTAGTCTTAATATTTTCAGAACCTGTGTTCTAAGTTCAGGGTTCTTTGCGCTCTATGTCAGACAGTAGAAATTTATGAACAGGGCACCCCCTCAACTGTAGAGGTGATTTGGGGGGTGAGGCAACACAAAGTGAGACAGGCACAAAGTAGATAAGGGTTGAGAGAGCTGGGGAGTCAGGAAGCTAGGAATGGGTTAAGAAAAGGCTTTATAGCATAATTAGTATTAGAGATGAACCCTGGAGGGTGATTCAAGATGGCAGATGGGGACACTCATTTCAAGTGTCAGAAGGGGAGAAAGAAATGTATGTGACAGAGGCTGGGACACAAGAGGGCAAGGTGGGCTGATGCATGGTGCTTAGCTCCTGACAAACATTGCTTTCATGCCACGGCATCGCCTCATGCTAAGCCTGCTCTTGGTTTCAAACTGCTTTTTGTTCACCCTGTCACAGCAAAATGANTCGGACACGACTGAGTCACTGAACTGAACTGAACTGAGGGTTAGTTCTGTGGTAGTCTAGGGTCATGGACTCAGTGCCCCCACTCCAAAAGCTCAGGACTTGAACTATGATTGTGGAAGCTTTCAGTCTTTGGTGTCCCAAATCTTTAATCTGGCAGGCTGGAGACCAGGGAATAGATGCAGTCTGAGTCCAAAGGCAGTGTTTTGGCAGAATTCCTTCTTGGTGAGGGAGGTCAGTCTTTGTTCTATTAAAGGCCTTCGACTGACTGGATGAGGCTGACCTATTTCTAGAAGCAGTTCCTTTCCTATGGCTCTAAAGAGTGACTTATACACTGGTTATCAAAACACCCACAATAGGTATTTCAGACCATGCAGAAGGAAATACTGCCCCTTTTCTCCCTTTGTGCTTGGTGTAGTTTCAGTTGCTCATGAGGTGCTGCATGCAGAGGCCTTGCCCTGAGAACTTTGGGCTGGAGTTCCTAGTGCGAAAAAGACGCCCACTACACCTCAATTCAAGATGGTGGCCCACATTGTTTTTTACAAACTTTCTTATTTCTTTCAACATGGATAGGGCAAGAGTTTTCCAAATGTTAAAGTTCTGCTTTGTTTTTGATGAACAATTCTACCTTTAAATAATTTCTGTCTTTTTGAGTTTTATTATAAGCATTTAAGAGAAACCAGGCTGTTTCTTCAACACTTTGCTTTGAAATTTCTTCACCCACATAGCCACTTTTCATTACTTACGAGTTCTACCTTCCACAAAGCACCAGGACAGGAACCAATTCAACTAAGCTCTTTGCCACTTGGAAAGCATAGCCTTCCCTCCGGTTTCCAATAACATGTTACTTATTTCCCTCTGAGACCTCAGCAGAATGACCTTTATCATCCATATTTTTACTATCATTCCATTAACAACCATTTAGGTATTCTCTAAGAAAATTGAGTGTTTTTCTAGTTTTCCTCTTCTGAGCTCTTACTAGAATTACTTTTAACCACTGATGTGCATTAACAGAGGCTTTTTCTAGCATGTACCTCAAAACTCTTCTAGTCTCTACCCATTTTGAGTGTGTGTGCTCAGTCACTCTGTCATGTCCCACTCTTTGCAACCCCATGGACTTTAGCCCACCAGGCTCCTCTGTCCATAGGATTTTCCAGGCAAGAATACTGGAGTGCATTGCTGTTTCCTACTCCAGGGGATCTTCTCTACCCATTATCCAGTTCCAAAGATGCTTCTACATTTTTGGGTACTTGTTATAATAGCAATTTCACACTTGGTACCAATTTTGCATCATAGTCATTTGGTCTGCTGTAACAAAATACTATAGACTGAGAAGCATATAAACAACAGAAATCTATTGCTCACAATTCTGGAGATTAGGTGAGGCTCTTTTTCAAGCGACAGATTTCTGGTTCTATCCTCACATGGCAAAGGGGGAGTTCTGTTAGACTGCTTTTGTTATATATATTAATTTTTATTTGTATCTTCAGATTCACGGATTTGAAATAATAAAGAACCAGAAGAAAGGTAAGGGAAAAAAATCCAAAATGGAGCATGGAGTGAAAAAGAATAGAATATTAAAAATAATGGAAATGCAACATCCACTTTTGGTTAAAATTCTCAATAGCATGTGTTATGGACATGTACCTCAACATTATAAAAGTCATATATGACAAGCCCACAGCTAACATGATACTTGGTGGTGAAAATCTGAAAGCTTTTCCTCTAAGATCAGGAACAACACAAGGAGACCCACTCTCACTACTCATTCAATATAGTATTGGAAGTCCTAGCAGAACAGTTAGGCAAGAAAAAGAAATAAAAGACATCCAAATTGGAAAGGAAGAAGTAAAACTGTCACAGTTTGCAGATGACATGATATATATAGAAAACCCTAAAGACTCCACCGAAAACCTGTTAAGCTAACCAATGGATTTGGTAAAGTGCAGGGTACAAAATCAATATACAAAAATCTGTTGCATTTTATACACTAAAGAGAAATTAAGAAAACAATCCTATTTACAAGTGCATCACAAAGAACAAAATACCTAGGAATAAATGTAACCAAGCAGGTGAGATACCTGTACATTGAAAACTATAAGACATTAACAAAAGAAATTGAGAAAAAACAAATAATTAGAAAGATGTTCCATGCTTATAGATTGGAAGAATTAACATTGTTAAAATGTCCATACTACCAAAGCAGTTTATACGTTCAGTGCAATCCCTATTAAAATTTCAATGGCATTTTTCACAGAAATAGAACAAACCAGGCTAAAATTTGTGTGCAGCTGCAAAAGACCCCAAATAGTCAAAGCAATCTTTAGAAAGAAAAAGCTGGATTCAAACTATACTACAAAGTTATAGCAATCAAAACAGTACAGTATTGGCATAGGCAGCCCAGAAATAAATACACCCATATAGAGTCAACTATCTATTTTATGTATTTGGTGTTCTCAGTTGTCTCTGCAACCTCAAGAATTGTAGCCCACCAGACTCCTATGTTCATGAAATTTTCCAGGCAAGAATACTGGAGTGGGTTGTAATTTTCTCCTCCAGGGGATCTTCCCAACCCAGGGATCAAGCCTGCATCTCTCGTGTCTCCTGCATTGGCAGACAGATTCTTTACCACTGTGCCACCTGGAAGCCCATAGAGTCAATTATCAATAAAGTGTCAAAGAACATACAATGGAGAAAGGATAGCCTCTTCAATAAGTGGTGTTGGAAAATGGGACAGCCATGTGCCAAAGAATGAAAATAAACCACTATCTTCTACCATACACAAAAATTAACTCAAAATGAATTAAAGACTTGAATGTAAGTCCTGATTTTTGGATTTGACACCAAAAGCAAAGGCAACAAAAGCAAAAATAAGCAAACTAAAAAGCTTCTTCACAGGAAAGGCAATCATCAAATGAAAAAACAATCGACTAAATGTAAAAAGATATTTATAAATCACATGCCTGATAAGGGGTTAATATCCAAAATATATGGTCTTCTCAGGTTGTGCTAGTGGTAAAGAACCCACCTGTCGATTTAGGGGATGTAAGAGACATGGGTTTGATTCCTGGGTCTGGAAGATCTTCTGGAGGAGGGCATGGCAACCCACTCTAGTATTCTTGCCTGGAGAATCCCATGGACAGAGGAGTCTGGTGGACTATGATCCATGGGGTTGCAAAGAGTTGGACATGACTGAAGTGACTTAGCACACACACATCCAAAATATATAAAGAACTGACATGGTTCAATAGTGAAAAACCAAACAGTCTGATTTAAAAATGAGCAGAGGACCTAAAGAGACATTTTTCCAAAGAAGATATACAGATGGTCAACAGGCATATGAAAGATGCTCAACATCACTGATCATCAGGGAAATGCAAATCAAAACCACAGTGAGATACCACCTCACACCTGTTAGAATGGCTGTCATCAAAATGACAAGAATTAAGAGTTGGGGAGGATGTGGAGAAAAGGGAACCCTTATGCACTGCTGGTGGGAATGTAAATTGGGGCAGCCACTATAAAAATCAGTATTGATGTTTTCCCCCAAATTACAAATAAAACTGCCTTATGACCCAGCAGTACCACTTTTGGGTATTTGTTTGAATAAAATG